TAAAATGCTATGGTATGATGTTATGATGTTATGTACATGTATGCACAAGCAAGTAAGTGTATATACAGGCAAACATATTCACACAAAGCACACAAGGCCTTAGGTTTAGGCTTGCATGAGGTTCAGGTACTACCCTCTTTCAGTTTGTTGGTTAAAACCTGTCCTATCAAAAGTAACCGGGTTCTAAAGGTCCCAATATTACTGGATTGCTTTCATTGTTCATCGTTTCGATTTAGCCACTGAACTGGCGACCGAAATATTCCAGGAAAGCAACCCTCAATTGAGTGTAGTATCGAGTATCAACCAACCTCGGACTGCACCAAAGTCAGTTATCTCACTACCCTAAAAAGGCTAAGATGGTCAATTAAGGTTCTAAGTCAGTTAATGCTTCACGACACCACGCGGCGGCCCCGTACTCTCCTTGACTGAACTCAAGGGTTACCGGTACACACCAAAGTGCCACATCAACGTAGCAGACTGCTTCAACCATGTCGGTATACCCCGCACAGTTCCCTCACAGCCTTGTTGCTACCTAAAAGGGTTTCCCCAGATCCGGGTTAGGATCTATAAAACTCCGATACAAAGCCCATAAATGTAAAGCAAACAAAGCAATCAATTGAAAGTAAAGGTGATCTAAACCCTAAGGTAACCCCACTTAAAAAGTTCTCCCCAGCAGAGTCGCCAGTTCTGTGATACGGTGGGAGAACTGACTTGAGGTTTTGCGTTTGTATTCGCAAATGTTGCGGTTAGCAAGAGTCGCCACCGACTTTTTATTTTATCCTAAGGAAAGGTTAAAAAGCACAGCAAAAACCTTTTGAGATGTTTCTTGGGTTCGGGGAGTAGATTATAGAAAGGGAAGGTATTAGCACCCTTTCTATCCATGGTTATCCATGGGCTCTTAGTTACTTGCTTAGATCACTTGCCTTTTGTTTTCAATTGTTTTAAATGGTGCTTGAGTGTGTGGGTTTGAAAATGTTTTGAAAAAAGAGGCCAATGTGGTGGCAACCTTTGTAATGATCCATGTGGGGATGTATACAAAGATGTATGTCTTTTTGAAAAAAAGTTTTCATTTGTTTTTGAAAATTGTTTTGAAAGTGCGGTGATGTGATTTTGAAATTAGGCAAGTGTTTTGTTTTGCAAGTTGATTCAAGTAACTAAGAGGTTATCTACTCCTAAATTTCTCAAAAGACTATTGCTATGCTTTAACCCTTTTAACAAGTTTGCTCCACCATTGTATTTGGTGGGCAACCTTGTGTTAGGATGTGAAAGGGACAGGCGCGGGTCATCGTTTTAGACCATAATTGCAACGGCGTTAAATGTCTTTGAGCAATTTCTCTAAGGGACTTGATCATTTGTTTTTGTTTGTTTTTGAAAAAGTTTTGTCGAGGGACTATGATCATTCAAATTGTTTGCTTTGCCCAAAGAAGTTCAACATGCAATATGGCCCATTTATTTGAAGGCAACAAGTGGAATACCCTAGGGGGTGCAAGTGTGATTTGTGTGTCCATTTTCATGCTTGTTTATCTTGTATTAGGTCAAACTATTTTTTATCGTTTTTTCGCATACAAACCCTAATTCTAACATGTTATCATTAGAAAGCAATAAAGTGCGAAATTAAAATCACTAAGCTATTACAAAACCAAATATGGGAAGGGGGGTACAAATGTTCAAATGGGGATATTGACAAGAATTTAAATCTAAATTATTACATCAATTGAATATTTGCAATTTAAATAATGTACAAAAATTAAATAAAAATGCAAGATGCACAAAAATGTTTTGTATATGTATGAAAAAAATATTATTTATGTAAAAGAGAAAAGAAAATAAAAAATGTATTATTTTTTGGGGTATTTTGAACTTAGGGTAAAAACCCTAATTTTTAAAGAAAAAAAAGGTATTATTTTCTAATTTAATACAACTATTTATTCATTATTTATAAAAATAAAATAAAATGAAGTGTATTATGGAAAAAGGTATTTTTATATCAAATATTAATAAAAATGAAAAACAATCAAGTATTTTTATATTTTGTCTTAAATATATTAATAATCACATATATATATATATATATATATATATATATATATATATATATATATATATATATATATATATATATATATATATATATATATATATATATATATATATATATATATATATATATATATATATATATATATATATATATATATATATATATATATATATATATATATATATATATATATATATATATATATATATTAATCCCTAAATATGTATTATGCACAAAAATAAATATTTATTTAATATTTTAATAAAATAAATAAAAAGAGTATTTTTTGTGTGAAATATTTTCAGAATGTAAACAAAAATAAAAATTGTATTTACACTATTTTCTATTTATTCTAATAATAGTACATATATATTATATATACAAACAAAAGAAATAAACAAATAAATATGCAAATAAATACAAAAATGATGGAAAAAAAATATTTTTAATTTTTAAATGTCATGAGAAAAAATAAACAAAGTTAATCAAAAAAGAAAAAGTCAAAAATGTTAAGAAATGAACAAATGGGCTCAGGGGGGTATGAACCAAAAAAGGTGGTGTGAAAAGCAAAATAACACAGGCCCAGCCCACTGATCATTGTCTTCAACCTCCAGCTTCAAACATTTGAAAAACGCGCGCCCCTGTTCCTCAATGTCTAACTCCTGATTCTTGGCTTTTCAGCAAAAACTCATAACACAAGAAATGTTCAGCATGAAGAGACGGTTTCAACCATATAAATAACTTGACCTATCTCTCTAAGATGAGGGAGAATTTCTCCTCCCCCAATTTCTGACCTAACTTTTCATCAATGTTCAGACATGAAATTCTCTAAGCACACGAAACATAAATGAAATCTAATCATATGAGCATGTTCAGGGCTATGATTGTGACATGTTTTCTTCAAAAAACCTAAAGCTAACAATGCCTAATAAGAGAGATAGAACTCCATGAATATACCTGTTCAGTTGGAATCGAGCTTGGCAATGGAGGATGTTTCAGAGTGAAATGATGACTTGTACAGCTTCCTTGAAGTGTAAGGATGCTTTTCCAATTCCTACTTTGTCTTGAAACTCCCTGAATCGAGCTAGTGAACTCCAACTGCAAAACAGAAAATTAAAAATGGTGAAGTGGCTTGGAGGTGTTACAGGTCTGATTTTAGGACATGGTTAGCTTGCATATGTTGTAGGGAAGGTAGAGGAAAAGGTTTGGATCAAAATGCTCGAAGGGATTGGGAGTTTGCACTCAAACTGCAGGGGCTCCCCTGTTTGTGCAGTTTTGAGGTGATTAGAGCAATGGGAGTGTTTCAGATGGCAAGGGCTCGTGTGTTAGCTTGGATTTTGTCTATGGAATGTGTTTGATAGGTTTTATGTTGTGTGTCTTAGCTGATATGAGAGATAGCATAAGTTATGGACTTTTCTTCTATCTTAAGCAACAAAAGCAAGTTGGTGGTTTTAGGTTAGTAGGGGGCCTCCTAATGTGCTGCATAAACATCTCTTGATCAGTGTGTTATGCACATAATCTTGTGCCAAGCAGATCTTTCATGTACTTGTTGGATTACAAACTTGACATAAAGTTAACCTTTTCAAAAATGGAAATTTCACTTTATCTAGTTTTGGATTAATCTTGCATACAATGCTTGCACTCAAAGAACAACACTTTAACACATTGAATATGCATTAAATTATTGAGTATGAAATGGTTCAAGGACCTGTAATCAAGCATAAAGCAAACTGATTTCAAATTGGCAAGATTATGAACATGTCTTGATGAAGAACAAAAAGTGAATTTTTGCCAACTTGTGAAATTCGAATCTCTCAAGTTATGAGGTTGTTTGATGAGTTCTTGGACATTTTGGAAAGCTTGGAATGTGTACTACAATCCATCTTTGAAATGCAAATCAAGATTCCAAGTGGAAGGGTATGAAAAGTGGCCTTGAAGTAGGGTAGAAAACCTTGTCAAAATAGGTCAAATTTCACTAAGTTAAAAGATGGTTTAGTGCCCTTATTCAAAAAATTATAACTTGAGATACAAGCTTCAAATGAGAAAACTTTGTGAATCAAAGTTGTAGATTATGCAACAAGCTACAACTTTCAGTTTTTGACTTTTGTTTGAATCCAAATGGATCATGGTGAAAAGATGGGGCAAAGTTGGGAAAAAATTAGGGTTTTTCATAACTTAGAAAAATTCTAAGTTATGAAAAATTCCATTTCCAAACCCTAATTTGCATTTTGAGATTTCTTGGTGAACAAGTTTCATGATTTGGAATGTTTTGATGAAAAATGAATCTTGACTCTTGATTTTGACCAAAAAGTCAAAGTTTGACTTTTCAGCATACAGTCAAAATTGATCAATTGACTGGGAAATTCAACTATCAATCTTGTGTACTTGAGATCTTTTGAGCTTGGTGAATGTGTCAAGACCATTTCATGGGGTCCTTGAGTCCATATGTGAGCTTGGTTTGCCATTGTCTAGGTCAAACAGTCAAAAATTGCCTTTGTGCAGTCAAAACCCTAAAAATGACCATTTTGCCCTTTTGATGATCTGATCAAATTTCTTGGGGAATTGTGATCCAAACTTGATCAAATGGTCCATATGAGTTCATAATGTTGATGTGGATCAAATTTCATGAGGTTTGACTGTCAATTGGCCACAATTGACTTTTTCCCCAATACAGCTGATTTCTAGGTCAACTGTCCAATTGACTGGGCAAAACTTGGAATCAAGACTTGAAACTTGGTATAGGTAAACTTGGGAGTCCAATATGAAGCATGAAAGTCATCTTAGGCATTTTAGGTCAAAACATCCTTAGGCAAACACAAACCCTAATTTGAGTCTACAGTGCAAGGAGAAGTCTTGAGCAGAGGAAACCCTAACTGTATCTTGATCTTCAAAAGGTCTTGTGATGAGAAAATGTTGAGGAAATGGGAGGGCAAATTTTGGGGTACAACATTATGGATCTATGCCGAGAAATCCATCTCAAACACCCCCGTTTAATGGTTATGTGACAATGGCGAATGCAAATTTTCCAAGTGGTGGTGTACCTGAATTTCCCGAGTTTTCAACACAACTAACTATTGGTGGCATGATTGTTTCTAATGAAGTCGGTCCGAATTCAGAGGATTCAACTCCTAAGAGCAGGAAAACTCAGCAACCAACATGGAACACTGAACAAAATTTGGTTCTAATTAGTGGGTGGATTAAATTTGGAACAAGCAGTGTTGTCGGGAGAAACCAGAAAGGTGAAACATATTGGGGTAAAATTGCTGAGTATTGTAATGAGCATTGCTCATTCGATCCTCCGCGTGATGGACCTGCATGCCGAAACCGTTTTAATTATATGAACAAAGTGTTGGGTAAATGGATTGGTGCTTATGATGGCGCTAAGCGTATGCAAGGAAGTGGTTGGTCGGAGAATGATGTTTTGGCAAAAGCGCAGGAATTATATGCATGTGGGAAGAATGTTAAATTCACTTTAATGGAAGAATGGCACGCTCTCCGTGATCAACCACGTTATGGTAGTCAAGTAGGAGGAAATATTGGCTCAGGAAGTAGTGGATCTAAGAGATCTCGCGAGAGTGATGCATGTGGCTCAAACACTGTAGAATCCAGTGCTCGTCCTATAGGAAGGGAGGCAGCTAAAAAAAAGGGTAAAAAGAAAAGCAAGGAATATGCCTCGGAGGTGGTGGACAAAGAATGGGCTGAATACAAAGAATTCAAGACGAAAGAGCTTGAACGATTGGACAACATAGCATTGATGCAACAGCAGGCTAACAATATAGCCTTGGAGAAGACTAAAACCAAGAAAATGAAGATGTATCTAAAGCTAACTTCCGAAGAGCATCTAGATGACCGGAAGAACCAGCTGTTGAAAAAGTTGGAGGCATAACTGTTTGATAATTAATTTCAATGAAGTATTTGTCAGTGTTGTGTTTGCTTTAATTATTGTTGTTTCAATATGCCAGTGTAGTGTTTGCTTTAATTATTGTTGTTTCAATATGCCAGTGTAGTGTTTGCTTTAATTATTGTTGTTTCAATATGCCAGTGTAGTGTTTGCTTTAATTATTGTTGTTTCAATATGCCAGTGTAGTGTTTGCTTTAATTATTCCTTATCTGATAATTAACTCTATACAATAAATTATTTCGAATCCGTCAGTGGTCCACCACCCAATTCGAATCTATTCCTTATCTGATAATTAACTCTATACAATAAATTATTTCGAATCCGTCAGTGGTCCACCACCCAATTCGAATCTATTCCTTATCTGATAATTAACTATATACAATAAATTATTTCGAATCCGTCAGTGGTCCACCACCCAATTCGAATCTATTCCTTATCTGATAATTAACTATATACAATAAATTATTTCGAATCCGTCAGTGGTCCACCACCCAATTCGAATCTATTCCTTATCTGATAATTAACTATATACAATAAATTATTTCGAATCCGTCAGTGGTCCACCACCCACATCCATTTATATATAGGGACTCATACATCCATTTATGTACCAATATCCCAAATCCCATCCAATCTACCTCCAATATAAAAAAAAAATGGATCCATCACAATATCATTTTGATATCGCAGCCTACAATCAAAATCGTGAAATTGAAGAAAATTATATAGTCAATCGATTTAGAGAGCGTAGAAACAAAATATCGGAAGATAATGCACCTCGTAGTAGAAAATATCTTAATAGAGATCATGCAGCGGCAAACCAAAGACTAATTGACGACTACTTTGCCAATGAGCCTACATATGACGATGCAATGTTTCGTCGTCGGTACCGGATGAAAAAAAATGTTTTCCTTCGAATCGTTGGGGACCTTTCAAGTAGTGATAACTACTTCACCCAGCGAGTTGATGCAGCCAATAAAGAAGGTATATCACCCTTAGCAAAATGTACCACAGTGTGATACGGTGGGAGAACTGACTTGAGGTTTGCGTTTGTATTCGCAAATGTTGCGGTTAGCAAGAGTCGCCACCGACTTTTTATTTTATCCTAAGGAAAGGTTAAAAAGCACAGCAAAAACCTTTTGAGATGTTTTCTTGGGTTCGGGGAGTAGATTATAGAAAGGGAAGGTATTAGCACCCTTTCTATCCATGGTTATCCATGAGCTCTTAGTTACTTGCTTAGATCACTTGCCTTTTGTTTTCAATTGTTTTAAATGGTGCTTGAGTGTGTGGTTTTTTGAAAATGTTTTGAAAAGATGCCAATGTGGTGGCAACCTTTGTAATGATCCATGTGGGGATGTATACAAAGATGTATGTCTTTTGAAAAGGTTTTCATTTTGTTTTTGAAAGTTGTTTTGAAAGTGTTGTGGATTGTGGTTTTGAAATTAGGCAAGTGTTTTGTTTTGCAAGTTAATTCAAGTAACTAAGAGGTTATCTACTCCTAAATTTCTCAAAAAAGATTATTGTTATGTTTTAACCCTTTTAACAAGTTTGCACCACCATTGTATTTGGTGGGCAACCTTGTGTTAGGATGTGAGAGGGACAGGCGCGGGTCATCGTTTAGACCATAATTGTAACAACGTTAAATGTCTTTGGGCAATTTCTCTAAGGGACTTGATCATTTGTTTTGTTTGTTTTGAAAAGTTTTATCGAGGGACTATGATCATTCAAACTGTTTGCTTTGCCCAAAGATGTTCAACATACAATATGGCCCATTTATTTGAAGGCAACAAGTGGAATACCCTAGGGGGTGCAAGTGTGATTTGTGTGTCCATTTTCATGCTTGTTTGTCTTGTATTAGGTCAAACTATTTTTTATCGTTTTTTCGCATACAAACCCTAATTCTAGCATGTTATTATTTAGAAAGCAGTAAAGTGCGAAATTAAAATTACTAAGCTATTACACAACCAAATATGGGAAGGGGGGTACAAATGTTCAAATGGGGATATAGACAAGAATTTAAATCTAGATTATTACAACAATTGGATATTTGCATAGTAAATAAATTGTAAAAATAAGTATGTAAAATGTAAAAAAAGGAAAGTTTTTTATGTGTATGAGAAAATAGTTATGTAAAAGGAAAAAAGAAATAAAAATGTATTTATTTTTTAGTATTTTGAAACTTAGGGTAAGAAACCCTAATTTTTATATAAAAAGTATTATTATTTAATTTAATTCTACTATTTATTTATTATGTACAAAAATAAAATAAAATGAAGTATTTTGTGAAAAAAGTATTTTTGTATCAAATATTAATAAAAATGAAGAAAATCAAGTATTTTATATTTTTATCTTAAATATATTAATAAACATGTATATATACATATATTAAACCCTAAATGAGTATTATACAAAATAAATATTTATTTAATATTTTAATAAAATAAATAAAAGTATTTTTTGTGTGAAATATTTTCAGAGAGTAAAAATAAAAATAAAAATGTATCTACATTATTTTCTATTTATTTTAATAATAGTATGTATATATATTTGTATATAAATAAAAGAAATAAACAAACAAATATGCCATAAATACAAAAAATGATGGAAAAAATATTTTAAAAATTTTAATGGCATGAGAAAAAATAAACAAAGTCAACCCAAAAAGAAAAAGTCAAAAATGTTGAAAAATAAACAAATGGGCTCAGGGGGGTGTAAACCAAAAAATGGGGTGTGAAAAGCAACACAAATCCAAGCCCAGCCCACTTCACTCCTTCTTCAACCTCCAGCACAGTTTATTTGAAAAACGCGCGCCAATGTTCAGTCCCTTCTAACTCTTGATTCCTGGCTTTTTAGCAAAAACTCATAACACAAGAAATGTTCAGCATGAAGAGACGGTTCTAACCATATAAAGAACATGACCTATCTCTCCAAGATGAGGGAGAATTTCTCTCCCCCTCTTTTCTGACCTAATTTTTCTACCATTTTCAGAGCTCAAATTCTCTCTACTCAGGCAAAATAAATGAGAAGTAAAGCTATGTACATGTTCAGGGCTATGAGTAGGACCTTGCTTCTTCACAAACTTAAGACTAAATATGCCTAATAAGAGAGATACGAATTCAAACTTTTACCTGTGCAGTTGAACTTCTATGTGGAGAATGAGAGACTTTCAGTGCAATGTAATGATTGGAAAAGCTTCCTTGAGGTCCAGGGATGCTTTTTCAATGCTCACTTTGTCTTGAACCTTCTTGTATCAAGCTATAGAACTTCACCTGCAAGTTAAAGATGTGAAAATGGTGGAAGTGGTTAGAGCAACTACAGATCGTGCCTTAGCTTATGGATAGCTTGCATATGTTGTAAGGAAGGTAGAGGAACAGGTTTGGACAGAAATGTTTGAAGGGAATGAGAGATTGCACTCAAACTGCAGGGGCACCCCTGTTTGTGCAGTTTGAGGATGATTCTGAGATGGAGAGGGTTTGAAAGGCAAATGGCTCGAGCAAAAGCTTCAATGAGGTCTATGGAATGTGTTTGATATCTTTTGTGCTGTGTTTCTTTGCTGATATGAGAGATAGCATAAGTTATGGATGTTACTTCTATGTGAAGCAAACAAATGTCAACTTGGTTTCTAGGCCAGTACAATGCCTCAATCTATGCTGCACCTTTGAGTCTTGATCAGTGGGATATGCCTATGCTTTTTTGCTTCAAAGATCTGCATTGTACCTCATAGATTTGCAAAGTTGCCATAAAGTATCACTTTACAAGAATGGATAACATGCTTTTTCTAGTTTAGGCTTGATTTTGTGTGTATTATCCAAATGAGCAAAATAATGTTAGAACACAAAGGATATGCATTGAATTATTGAGTGAGAATGGGATTAGAGGCCTGCAATGTAGCTTAAGCATGCTGAATTCAAATTTGCCAAGTTTATGAACATGCTTTGATGAAGAACAAAAGTGAATTTTTGCCAACTTGTGAAATTCGAATCTCTCAAGTTATGAGGTTGTTTGATGAGTTCTTGGACATTTTGGAAAGCTTGTAATGTGTACTACAATCCATCTTTGAAATGCAATTTGAAATTCCAAGTGGAAGGGTATGAAAAGTGGCCTTGAAGTAGGGTAGAAAACCTTGTCAAAATAGGTCAAATTTCACTAAGTTAAAAGATGGTTTAGTGCCCTTATTCAAAAAATCATAACTTGAGATACAAGCTTCAAATGAGAAAACTTTGTGAATCAAAGTTGTAGATTTTGCAACAAGCTACAACTTTCATGTTTTGACTTTTGTTTGAATTCAAATGGATCATGGTGAAAAGATGGGGCAAAGTTGGGAAAAAATTAGGGTTTTCCATAACTTAGAAAAATTCTAAGTTATGAAAAATTCCATTTTCAAACCCTAATTTGCATTTTGACATTTCTTGGTGAACAAGTTTCATAATTTGGCATGTTTTGATGAAAAATGAATCTTGACTCTTGATTTTGACCAAAAAGTCAAAGTTTGACTTTTCAGTATACAGTCAAAATTGATCAATTGACTGAGAAATTCAACTGTCAATCTTGTGTACTTGGGATCTTTTGAGCTTGATGAACATGTCAAGATAATTCCATTGAGTCCTTGAGGCCATATGTGAGCTTGGTTTGCCATTGGCTAGGTCAAACAGTCAAAAATTGCCCTTGTGCAGTCAAAACCCTAAAAATGACCATTTTGCCCTTTTGATGATCTGATCAAATTTCTTGTGGAATTGTGATCCAAACTTGATCAAATGGTTCATATGAGTTCATAATGTTGATGTGGATCAAATTTCATGAGGTTTGACTGTCAATTGGCCACAGTTGACTTTTTCCCCAATACAGCTGATTTCTAGGTCAACTGTCCAATTGACTGGGAAAAACTTGGAATCAAGACTTGAAACTTGGTATGGGTAAACTTGGGAGTCCAATATGAAGCATGAAAGTCATCTTAGGCATTTTAGGTCAAAACATCTTTAGGCAAA